CTGAGACTAATTTTATGTCTCATGAATAGCAGTACAAACAAGTATGAAAAGTCTCTCTGCCACTTTGAAAACATTGCCTGTTCAGTCTGGAGATGGAGTGGCTTTATAAGAAGTGGTTGGTACAAAATAGTCCAAGGCTACTCAAAGCACCATTCACGCTGCGTTTGGAGACACACAGCTTTACACATGCATGTAGTCAAAGGCTACTGTGCCACACAGTGCACAAAGCACCATTCACGCTGCGTTTGGAGACACACAGCTTTACACATGCATGCCTGCAAGCCTCCACTTCCAAAACATAACTCAGACATCTGTAACATCACATCAAACATTTCAAAATAATTTTCCCAAGTCCAACTATATTGAGCAGCATCAAAAATGTAATTACTTAACATGCATATTGCTTAATTATACAAAATACCACTTCAAAACCTTAGTTACTGAATAGTTTCATATTTCTGTCCACCAATAAAGTAATAAAGTAAGGCTCATGTTTTTGGCGCTCCTGTGTAGACCTTCCAATTGCCCTCGTATTGGGAGGCAATAAGTACCAAACAGGTATTAGCAGAACCATGCAAACCTTCAAGCTGATGACCTGCTGTCTCAAAACTCCATTAAACTCTTTACACATAATGGTGTATGGGAGCTGACAACTATCCATCTTTCCCATCAGTATTCACCAGTTAAGTTAGAATTTTCCAAACAAGGATCTTAAAAAATGAGCTGAGTGTAGTCTCTGAGATGAGGAGACCCCAAGCCTCTCCTTAGTTAGTAATTGTGGCTCCTATACTTTCTATCCCACTCTGCTTTCCACAAGTATTGCCCACGGCTGCATCTAGTTCTTTCATCTTTATTATCCATTTGACTTCTGCAGTGATGCTAGTATTGTAACTGTGCATAGGAGGCAGCCAGCTCTGAAAGAGGCTGCGTACCTCACTAAGTGTAGCCCTGAAGCTGCAATGAGACCTTGTGATTCTGGCTCTCAGGCACTCTTTCCTCCATCCTGTGGTTTATAACCCCAGTTTCTTGCTGTTTTTAATCCAGTACTTTACAACCATTCTGAACCACTGATGAGATTTTTTAAACTAAAACTAGCCGGGCAGTGGTTAATCCAGGACTCAGGAGGCAGAAGCAGATGATCTCTGTGATTTAAAAGCCAACAAGTCTACAGAGTGAGTTCTAGGACAGCCAGGGGTGCACAGTGAAACCCTTGGGAGCAAAATATCTCAGGAAAGTTGAAAAGACTAACACTGTTTATAGTGTTGACTATATACTAAGCCTAATGTTAAGGGCTTTCTGGTGGTTAATTTAATCTTCTGATTATCCTGCGAAGACACTGAGCTAACCAATAGATTTAAATCAAGATGCCAAGTGTGTAACCAATTGGAAGTAGCTGCTTGAAGAAGCGTATGGAGGAGCTGGAGCTCAGTAGTTAAGAACACTGGCTATTCTTCCAGAAGACCTGAGTTTTACAACTGTGTAACTCCAGTTCCAAGAGGATCCAATGCCCTCTTCTGGACTCTACAGGTACCAAGCATGCAAGGATGCACCAACTAACAAAAGAAGAAGAAATTAAGAAATGCGCATAAACGGCTTTTGTGGCCACACTAGCTCATCAGTACTCCAGGCAGTGACTACTGTATAATTCCCATTGAGGGCACAGAGCATAACACCACCATGTGCTCCATACCCACTATCTACGAGGCACATAGTCTAACCTGTCCCGAATCTAACATTCTCTGACCCTGGGAAGCAGATCGATTCTTAATAGCCATCAGGTGTGAGCACTAAGATCTAAATTTAGAACATTAAATACAATCTTACTAGCACGGCCCCCACTCTCCTCCTGCCTCTTTTGTTTGTTCTCTTTCCTGAAGGCACACTGGGGTCTCGCTCTAACCACCTCTCACTGTGACCAGCTCTCTGATTCACACACCCAGTGTTGTGCCGAGTCTGTTAGAAAACAACTGTGCCAAATGTCTGGCAGCTGCAAACCCCATAGCATGTGCTGCTTGCCCACTGTCAGCCACAAAGTTGCCAAAACAAGACCAAGAATAGTTTGTACCTTTTGCCAGCTGTTATTCTAAGTGCCAAACTCTTGTGAAAAAAGAAAAAAAAAACTACTAAGGGTGACTATGGAGATGATATATCAACAGAGAACAAGAGAATCTGGAAATGCTGGTGTTTATACATTGGCCTCTAGGCCATCCTGCCCTCTTCTGACCCATATCCTTTGTTCACAGCAAGCTCTAGTGAGCCCCAAAGAGAAGCCATCATCTCTGGCCCTCCTGAGATAGTATGATAGACTCAACGGAGAAAAACAATTGTGGATTTAAATCTTGGCTCTGTACTTACTAGCTGAGCAAATGAGCCTCATCAAATTCTCTGAACCTCAGTTTCTCCATCTATGAAATGGGTCACCAGAGTACCAACTACCCAAGAAATTCTATGAAAATAACAAGCCAGTGGACAGGAAGGAAGCCCTTTCTATCCTGAAGAATTATATAAAGATATGGATTTTTCTTTGTGGCCACTATAGAATTTTTCCCATTCCACTCTGTTTCTTTTCCACTACTCATTGGGCCTTTTTTGAGCATGAAAATTGGTATAAGATATTGAATTCCAAGCTCTTAGATGACCTCAACTTTCCTGTCTTCTCCAGCAGCTTCCCATTCTTGCACAGGGCCATAAGGATTGGGATGCATAAAGGATAACACATTACATTACTACCTGCCAATACTACTGCTGTGAATGAAATGCAGTTCTTTCTGTAAGAGACATACCAAAAAGAAATTGACACACAATTCTCTTATCAAAGCTGGCTTGTGCTGGTTTTCAGAACCACAAATGATGCAGACTGACATCAGATGTCTTATTTAAGATTTGCGTTCGGAAGATCCCATTGGGGTGATCTGCAAGATGACTGGAAAGAGATTCAAATAGAAGCATGACGTGTTATATTATTTAGAGGAAGCTGTATTTCCCAAAAGAAATGATCCTATTCACATACGGCAGAGTGGAACCTTCTTTGGGCTCATTACTCATCTTGTTTCTCACAACGGAAATCATGGTGTGAGTTCTCGAACATCTTAACAACACTGGAGTCACAGCGGTGGATGGAATTTTGCTTTTCTCACCATGGAATGGCCAGTGTAGGGGGCAGACTGTGACATCTGTCACCTGATACCTGAAGCTTTGTCTCACTATGGGGATTCTCTTTTCATATTATTTCCCAAGCCTTCCTTATAAAGTCATAGTCTAGCATTGCTAACATTGGTGAACCATGCTCCTGTCCCTCAAACTCTTTCTCCACAACTTCCACTGACCTTCTGGATGACAATGACAATCATATCTTTTTATCTCCAGATCAGATGACTAAAGGCTTAGCAGCAGTCACTTTTTTATCTAAAATCTGATTTTGTATAGTTTAATTAATTTACAGGGAATCATTCTTTCCCTAAATACACAAAATTCTGAATCACCCCACACTAATCCCCTTCTCACACATAAGGATGCCTCCTTAAGCACTTCTAGGGCAGCTGTGGACAGGTGCCATTTAGGAAAGATGCCAAGTACAAGATGATTGTACCTTCAGGATATAGCATGGCCTCGGAAGTGCCAACACCAACAGCAAGTCCTCTTTGAGGTAGATAAGAAACATGACTTAAATTGGCAGCCATTTCTTACACTTGAAATTGTAAGAAAACCACATTTGCCCTGTACCACTACCAAGGCTCCATAGAAGGCCTCTGTACTCTACAATTACAAACATAGAAGAACTACCTGAATCAACTGCAGTTATTGAAACCATCTGTGTAGTTACTACGTTTTATGAACTACTCACTTTCCCCTGGCTGGAGCTATGAAAGAGAAACTTGTATTGCATACTAAATACGTTGTGACAGACAGCCCATAGGTTTTATAGTATGTATAGTATAGTATAGTATAGTATAGTATAGTAGTATGAAGCAATGAGGTTCACTGTCTTTTGACCTTGGAAAAGACCACCCCCAATCCCATTCCTCCTCAAATGTCCCCTCTAGCAGATACTAATCTGTTTTCAACACCCCTAACCTATTCTCACATCAAAAGTTTATTAATACTAAACCCAATGCAAATATAGGAGCAGAACCTTTGGGATTTGCAGCTGAATGGAGACAACTCCATGACCACCTAGTCAATCCATTGTATAAATTTCATTAAAAACTGATTGCCAAAGCTCAACTTACTCTCCACAGTAGTCTGTTGACTCAAGGCCCACCCAGAAACAGAGAATATCTAACAAATGCTTTGGGTGATACTTGCATTTTTACACCATTTGCTTCCATCAGTTCCCATTCTGAAGGTTCAAGGCAATCTTAACTGATCGCTTCGGACACAACTCTCAACCTGGAGTGGGGACCAGTGCTTGAAAGCAGGGGCTTCCACATGTTGAACACATAATGTGCCCCACAGCCATAACCCCATGTCCTCAGTTTGAATCTAATTTAACTGACCAACAACAGATTTCTAATGATTCAGAATTAGACTAAAACCTCCATCACCCTGTCATAATATTCTGACAAAGTTTCTAGGTCTTAAAAGAAATAGGCACTTGCTTTTGGGCCACATACTTGGGAAATAAAATAGGAGGTGAATTAAAATTATCAGAAATTCTGATGAGGGAATGTGAAATCATTGGATAGACCCCTTCCCAAATGGCTTTATTTGGGATGCTTGGTGTAGAGGCATGGCACACTCTGTTTCTAGTGTCAGAGAAAAAGCACTCTCCCAGATCACTGCCCCACTGCAGAGAGCTGGCAGCCCATTATTGCTTCAAGTCATGATTGTGATAACCAGACACTAGAGCTTTATGAGGATGGAGGAAATTTTGAATGGTTCAAGGAGAGAATGCAAGGAAAATTAGCCCTCAACTGTATGTTTCCTGTGTTTCAGAGCAGGCACTGTAGCTACCAGGTACAGCTGGTTATAACTGTAATTTTCCTCTCCTTTCTTCTCAGGGGGACAAGAAGATCTCATTCTCTCCTATGAACCCGTTACAAGGCAGGAAAGTAAGTCTCCAGGCATGCCCAAGTTCCTGATTCCCAAGCTATGACAGATGACACCAAGCTCAGTTAATACCCAGTTGTGCCAGCCCCAGGCTCAGTAACAGCTCCCAGGAGGCCAGAACAGTCCTGGAGACGCATGGCCTCACTAAGACTTCCAGGCCTGAGCTGGAGGGCTGGTGGAGAACAGCTCTAAGGAAGCTGACACCAGTCTGGTTTTGAAAAAAACTTCTGCACAGACCTCAGAGTCAGGCCACCTGCAGACTTCTCCAGAAGTCTGAGTTTCTGCAGATATATATACAGAGGCTGGTGGTGAATGACAGAGAAGTTGCAGAGACAATTGAAGCATAGATGAGAAGTTGCACCAAATATACATAAATGTATTCTAAAGCACTTAGGAATCAGGAAGCGCCCCCCACCACCACCGCCAATCAGAGTACAGGTAGTGTTCTGAGCTGAGGAAAAGAAAGTACGGATGCACAAGGTATCACTCCTACTAACAATGACTTTAAACAATGACTGAAAAGATGGGGTTTTTTTCTCCAAGGCTCCCTAAATCCAGGTGTTTTGACATAGGGAAGTAAACCCTGAGAAGCAGAGCTCCTCCTCCATGTCATTAGTAGCTGCTACAGTTGCTCTTTTCCCTGACAGTAAATTCCAGATCACAGCAGAGGCAGCATCCTGAGGGCTGAACATCCTTGTCTACATGCAGGGTTTTATGGGTTATTTATCCCAAGTGTAGAAAAGCCTTAGCACTCCTTAGTTATTGTCAGTTTGCCCTGAAGAATCACCTCTGCAGTGGTACAGGACTGCATCCACCCTGTGAGGTTTGAAGTCCCCCTCAATGGCATCTTCCTTTCCTTCCTGCAGTCAACTATACCCGGCCAGTGATTATCCTGGGCCCCATGAAGGATCGAATCAATGATGACTTGATATCTGAATTTCCTGATAAGTTTGGCTCCTGTGTGCCTCGTAAGTATTGCTTTTCTTTTCTCTGGGCCAAAGCTTGGATCCTTGGTGGATAATCAAGTGTATCCCTGGCTCTTTAAGAAGAGTCACTGGTGTGATTCTGATGTCATCAGTTACCTACTATCTGAGCACCCGATTAGGGTATCTGCCTGACACTTTTGATCTGGGCTGCCATGTATTGTTTTCTACTGATAAGGAGTGACCTTCATCTCCAGGAGATAGCAAGGCCTTCTGGAACTTCCCAGAGCACATGAGACAACATTTATAAGTCTTTTATTTATAAGTCTCAATGGGTTCTTCTAGACTGATTGAAATACCACTGTAGCATGTTTATCCATAGACCAGGGACAATCAGAAGCAAAGCCTCACACTGAAATCATCTCTAGATGACTTAGTCCAGAGACTAAGTCTTCCTTGTATTTTGATAGTCCTGGGTTATCAGAAGATTGTGTGTGTGTGTGTGTGTGTGTTTGTGTGTTTTCTATCCTGTAGGCCTTTATAGATTTCAGGCTTTGAGATCATAGACAATTAGATTTCCAAGTCCCTCTGAACACAGCCTGTAATGTGTCTTTCCTTTCTCAAAGCTACCACTACCACACCTCTGTTCTCTGTCTTGTACAAAGACTGCCTGTGCATGGAGACAAGGCCACTAGGAAATCTGAATTATTAGATAGAGGCTCTTACATCCAATCCCAACAAATAGCTCTTCTCTATGGGCTTTTTGTTGTTGTTGTTTTAGATTTATAATTTCAGCTGTCTCAAATATTTCAGTACTATAAACTCACCTAGGGTCATAAAGAAAAGAAGGAATTACATGTATGCAGCACACAGACAAAAAGAGGTCTGGGAAGGTTGCTGAACTCCAGGAAAAGGTTCCCAGCAGGGACTCAGAGAAGAGGTAAAACAGTTCCTAAGGAAGGGGCAAAGGGAGGCCTGGCTTGTTCATAGCATCTGCCATTTGAGAGAAGGAAATCAGAACTTAAACATTATTGAGACTTGTCCTTCTACCTTGTGCATACTCCCCTTTCTTTTTTAGTTTAGTTTTGTTTTGTTTTCCAGTCAGTGTTTCTCTGTGGCTTTGGAGGCTGTCCTGGAACTAGCTCTATGTAGACCAGGCTGGTCTCTAACTCACAGAGATCCACCTGCTTCTGCCTCCTGAGTGCTGGAATTAAAGGCACCCGCTACCATAGCCTGGCTGGTTTTCTTTTTTTCATTACTAGCCCTGCCCTATGGGAATAAGTACATACTGATTATACAGGATTTGTAAAATTTAAAAGATTAAAAAGTTAGCCAAGGAATTGCGAATATATTGAATCCATATAATAACCTGAAACAAAATCATTCTTCCTTCCAATACAGTCTTCATATGCTTAAATCTTAAATCTAAGTTGTTACATAACAATTTAAAATAACTATATTCACCAAAAAAATTATAGACATTTTTTACTTCCCCTCCTTTATGGGTTATAATAAAATGTAATTTTGTGTTATAAATTACTATAAATATTTGGGTATTTATCTTAACTTTTGATCAATTTTAAGATAAATATTTAGAAAAAAACCTGATTCCAAGATTGGATGTAGGTTAAACTTTTTTAACTTGTATAGATAGATTGTTTTCCTTTTGTCTTCTTAACAAAACATCAACATACAATTGTTAAATTTGCTGACTTTTGGTTCCACCTGAACTGATTCTCTTACTATATATAATTTTAAGAACCTAAGCATATTCATAAGGATATGCCCATTTTTCTTTCTAATTATTATGGCACATTTTCTCACATCTTGGATTTATTTCTTCATAACCTGTTTTGTTCTGCATGTTGTAGTGCTATATATGTTGAGGCAGTGGTTATTTGAGGACAGGATCTCAGTATGTAATCCGTACTGACCTAAAACTCATGGCCTTCATGAGGCTGAATCCTGGGTGCTAGAATCACATATGTGCAGGCTCACACTCAGGTGTGGTGCCATATTGTTGAGAGTCTGGATTTTATTATCTTCCTTTACAGAATATTTTGTTTTTATAAAGCAGTGATGTACTGACAGGATCAGCTTGTTGTGTTTGTAACTTGGTTTTAGACTTCTGAAGGCAGGCCTCAAGCCAGCCTAGAGGAGCCTTCTAGGTGGAGCTAGATGTGTGGCTTTTTCTACCTCCCCAAATGCCCAATTTTATATGAACTACAGTATCTTCTAACATTGAGTTGCCTCTGGACTCTCCACTTAGAATCAGCATCAAGGCAGATAGGAAGGATAAATACAGATTGTCCCTCACATGTTTCTCATGTTATAATTACAGCCACACCTTGTAACAGACAAGGTTTGATACTGAAACAAATTATTTCTTGTATTTTGTCCTGTTTTATCGTTGCTTATATGGGATGGTAAGACTGGCACTCATTACTGTGTCACAGCCCATCATATTACATATGACACATATCCACATATATGTGTTTAAGGAATAGTAGGAAAAAATCAGGCAGAAAAGAAGTTTATAATTAGAAATGCATCTTATTCACTGTTTCTTCTTTTATAGATACTACGAGGCCAAAGCGTGACTACGAAGTCGACGGCAGAGACTATCATTTTGTCATTTCTAGAGAACAAATGGAGAAAGATATACAAGAGCACAAATTTATAGAAGCTGGCCAGTACAATGACAATTTATATGGAACCAGCGTGCAGTCTGTGAGATTTGTAGCAGAAAGGGTATGTTTGCCAGTCCCCTTACAACTCCCTAAAGAAGGGTTCTGGTAGCAAACTTTTTTGGTCATTGCTCTTTCCTGATTGCAAATTAATGTCCATGGTTAGAATTGCCCTAAAGCAGTGTCATAGTATTCTGACTGACTTGTAGACAAAGGGAAGACAGGACACCCATTAACCCAGACAGCTCACACTGTGTTTATGGGGACTTGGATTGTTCCTGGCATACTGTCTGACCCAGGTTAATAAGACTGAATTTATTAAGGGAGCTTTGATAACATTAGTTGCCTGGAGAAGTTGAGTTTTTCTCTCTCTGAAAACTTAGCATTCTCGTGGTGGAAGGGAGATGTATAGGATAACAGTCCAGCCTCTTCCTGCCAGAAATTTTGACTTAGAAGAGGTATTGATGCTGAAATTCTCTTTTTCTTGACACTATCAGAAGAATGGAAAAGAGGTACACATTGAAGGGAGAATAGATAGGAAACCACTTTACTGTGGCTTTAAGATCTTCCCAATAGATGGAGCCTATAAAGACATGCAGATAATCCAGGGGAGGAAAACAGTTGTCTGTTTGACTCAGTGGTCCCTCCTTTTGATGTTAACCCCCCTTTTGATATAGTGATGAATTAAACAACTCACCTCCTGTACAGGGACCCAAAGTAATAGGTATATAGTTCCATTTTAAGGTAAGTGGGGTAAGAGAAAGCTGGAAATCAGAGAGAAAGAGAGACAGAGAGAGGAAGAAAGAGACAGAGAGAGACAGAGAGACAGAGAGAGACAGAGAGAGAATATGGAGATTCAATCATTTTCCCACAGACCTGGGACAATAGCATGAATCAGAAACAAAACCTCTTGGCAGGAGTAAAGCTAAAGAGAGCTTCTCCATAAACCCTTGCAGTGTAGACGCTGGCAACTATACTACAGGAAAATTCCACTTGGATGAATAGCCTGAAATGTATGCAGTAGCCTTGTTTTGGAAAAGGATTTCACATCTTTCCCCAGAAGGCATCCAACATGCCAGACATACAAGTCACTTAAAGAACAGAACTACTGTCTGGATTTGGACTCCCTAGGGGTCAGAAAATCTTGCATTCTCCTTTCTTTAAACCCAACATTCATTCTATTCTACTGGCTTGTGACTGGCTTGTGAAGTCAGCTTAACCTAGCAGAGTAGCTGTGACCTAAGCCTCTTGAATAACCTGCACTGTAAGGTATGGGTGTTGAGACATAGACAGGAAAGAGAATGATGCCCTTATTTTTAGGTGTGCTCTATCATGTGTGGCTTCATACTAGTACCAGGACTGAAGGCAGGCACCAAGTGGTGCTTGAGAAATTCTGACATGCTATCACATATAGGGGCACCAAAAAGATACTCATGTCCCACTCATCCTCATTCCAGGGCAGGCACTAGAGCTCAAAGAGTAAGATGACAACAAAAGCCCCAGCTGTCACATCACTAAAGGACAACTCTTTTGTCAAGAGGAACTCTGGCTAAGTCCTGCTCCTGGACAGACACCATCACTTAAACAGAAGCGAAGAGTACCATGATCCCTGTGACTGCCCTCACACAGTCACACTGCCACTCCACCTTGTCAGTACAGGTGGTGAACAACACAGAGGGTGTTCTGTAGCTCTGCTATCCCCTTTCCCCATGCAACACCTGGGGTCATACCACTGGTCAAAGGAAAAAATGCTTTAGAACCTCATCACCACAGAGGCCAGTGTGCCCTGGATCATTGGCAGTAACAGCATGAACAGCGCCAGAGGAAACACCTATTGCTTACCAGGCAAAAACTTGTATGCATAAGATAATTTTTAAAATTTCAAAAAGCTGTAATTGATAGCCTCAACAGCCAACTAGGTCAAATGGGTAAAAGTTATATGAACAACAAGACAGATTTTTAAAATAGCCCAGTCAAACAAAACAAATAAAAGAATGGCAAGAGTATCAAAGATCTACAGAGCCATTAAGTGAACAAATATCCCAATTTCAAAAGTACAGAAGATGGAGAGAAAAGAACTTCAGGGCACAAAAGAAAACTGTGCAGACATAAAAGAGTGAGTAGCTTATAGGGCCATGAAATAAATATAACCAAGTGTCTAGGCTGAGAGGGTATCTCTTTATGTAAAATGGGCTCCCAAAGTCCTTTTGTATGTTAGGAATAAATACTGATCTACTACCAGAGACCCCACAGATTGCCGAGGCCTTGTCACTGATACCCACATTCAGGGGGGTCTGGATCAGTCCTATGTTAGTTTCCCAGATATCATTCTGGGGGCCATGAGCTCTGCCTTGTTCAGGTCAGCTGTTTCTGTGGGTTTCCCCAGTCTGGTCTTGACCCCTTTGCTCATCACTCCTCCCTCTCTGCAACTGGATTCCAGGAGTTCAACTCAGTGTTTAGCTGTGGGTGTCTGCTTCCATCAGCTACTGGATGGCATATATACTCTAGGATGGCATATAAGGTAGTCATCCATCTCATTATCAGAGAAGGGCATTTAAGGTAGCCTCTCCACTACTGCTTAGATTGTTAGTTGGAGTCATCCTTGTAGACCTCTGGAAATTTCTCTAGTGCCAGATTTCTCTTTAAACCTATAATGGCTCCCTCTATGATGGTATCTCTTTTCTTGCTCTCCTCTATTCTTTCCCTGACTAGATCTTCCTGCTCCCTGGTGTCCTCCTCTCCCCTTCTCTTTCTTCTAACTCCCTTAGCTCAGGAGATCTTGTCTCTTTCCCTTTCTCCAGGGGACCATGTATGTCTCTCTTAGGGTCTTCCTTGTTTCCTAGCTTCTCTGGTGTTCGCAGGCAAATGGATGGAACAATCCTGAGTGAGGTAACACAGTCACAAAAAGACAAACATGGTATGTATTCACTCATATATGGATTTTCTTAGTATTTTTAACGTGGTATTTTTCTTATCCTTCTACCAGGGCAAACACTGTATACTTGATGTATCCGGAAATGCGATTAAGCGGTTACAAGTTGCCCAGCTCTACCCCATTGCTATCTTCATAAAGCCCAAGTCTCTGGAACCTCTGATGTAAGTGGAGGACCAAAAGTCCTCATGCAGCTCCCTGCTCCAAATACACAACAAACAACAGCAGTTGGTCCCAGAGGCTAACAGGCAGTAAATGCCAGTGCTGATTGTTAAGCATTTCCTCCTTTTAATATATATATAATATATAACTTTTTTGAGTCGGTAATTCTTTATTATTTTATAAATTGCTTTAACCTTTACATTTTCTACTTGTTGGTAACTTCATTTGGTCTAAGAGGTTTTGGGGTGGAGGGGATAGTTACTTTAGTTTCTGCAAATGGCAGGTGGCTATTACTTTTATATTGTTTCTTAACTTTGAGAACAGTTTCACAGGTAAATCTTTAAACGTGGGCATTTTGTTTTGTTTTTGTGGAGGGAACAAAAAACACTTCCTAATCTTTCCATTGACATTTTATATTGCCCTTAGTAGGATTCTGAATCTGTGTTAAAAGAAAAAAAAGACCAAGGCTCTTAACAGCCTTTCCTAGTGGCCTAACTATAAATATCTTTAGTATATCCATCTCCAAAAAAAAAAGACCAAGGTTCTTTGCAGCCTTTCCTAGTGGCCTAACTATAAATATCTTTAGTATATCCATCTCCACATCTATGCACATATGTCAGCATGGGAAATGCATGGTTCTGATTGCTTTCAAAGCATTCCCAAAGCTCTTGTAAAATCTCTCTTCACAAAGCAGTAAACAAACTAGGCAGATATTCATGGTCTGACAAAGCACCCCCCCTAGACAAGCTACATACCTGTGAAGCTACTATAGGAAATGGTAGCAGAGCAAAGAGGCCACAGCAGAGATGTGAAAAACAGACAGGATAGGCCAGCTCTTTGCTTTGCCAATGATCCTTCATATAACCCCCACACAAATTGCTTGAGCTCCCTAAGATTAGATCCTCACCTATAAACTATATAGACATTTACCTATATAGACATTAACATGTACCTGGTAGAGAGAGAGGGCTGAACAAGGTCACAGAGGCTCAGAGAGTCCTCATCATAGTAAGTACTCAGGAATCAGTAGTAGTATTGCAAAAGATTCCAGGAAAAAGCCAGAGCCTAGCTCAAATGTTGCCTCCAGGCAGGCCTCAGGAGAATATTATTGGACTGAACAATACAGAACACACTGGAAAATAATGCTTATGGAAATGTTATAAAAATAGAAGGTATTTATTCCCAGAGATAAAAGTCATTGTTTTCTGAGGATAGCAGCTACCTGTCTGGTCTCCTCTGAGGATGTAACTGCAAATTAAGCCACAGTGGTTGAGTTGGAATGGCAGCTGAGAAAATTAACATAACCTAAAATGTATAGTTGATCTCTGGGGAAATCACCAGTTATATAGTAAAAACAGAGTATCTCCCCAGAAGTAACAGTAAACAAGGGCTTTTGCCAAGATAAGTAAATAAAATTAGGAGGCCAATGGGAAAACATTAGCCACAATTACCACATAGAAAACTGTGTATTGATGATAAAAGGGTGTTCATGTTCTTACTCTGACAGCACGTATTAAACTTTTCCTGTGTTGGGTATTACATAAAGTTAGTTGATGACCACAAATGTCATTATGTAAAAGTGATTTATAATGTGTAGACAGCCACACAAAGCTATGCAGTGTTAACATTATGAGGAGAAAAGTAGTGCTAGCCTCTTGGAAACGGCATCATAAAAGCTCATTTCAGAAATAGAAATTAGTCCACATGATAAGCACACAACAGGACTGATGACTGCCTGGGGAGGTAAAGCCTGAGGGACCAAGAGCAGTGGCGCATTTAGTCCAGTCTGACTCTGCGAGACAGCCCATCTGGTACTCAATGGAAGATCTACTTCCTTCCATAACTACCAGATGACTTATTTAGTTCTGCCTTAGGGTCCTGTCACAGGCACTTACCACCAAGGAAAATTAAGCATGCCAAAGGCTAGATGCCACAATGAGGACAGTGTCTTTGGCATAATTCATGGTGGCCATATTCATGGATCTCTACTGTAGAGGTAATAGCACTCTGCCTCATGCAATCTCATGACTAAAGGCTGGCTGCTTATGGTTCACTCTCTCCTGAAGCTTTCACTTCAGAAGCAATGCTGTCATGAATTGCCCATTCCCCAGGAAGGGGCAAAGCTCGGTCAGCTGGAATGCAAGCATGGCAGCTGTCACGATGAGACAGTGACACACCATCACACACATTACTGCTCACATGCATCACCCACAGAGCCGATTAACAAGCACAGCACACAGCTGCCTCTTTAAAGGAACACAAATTCAAGGGTATGTATGAAAGAGATGCTTTTAGAATGGGCTGCCTGATGACTTCTGGACCTACCCCATGGCACTGAGAAGCTTTCCTGTGTCCATGTATCCAATGGTCTTCTGTGGCATTGCATTTACCAATACCTGTATTTATGCCATAATTATGTTTCTTTGCTTAACTCACCCATTCAACAAGTGTTGAATCAACCTAATGAACAAGCCATAGGTTCTTCCCTCAATGAGCTTTGGCATGAACTCTGAGGAATATGATGAGACTATTTATATACCCATTCAACAAGTGTTGAATCAACCTAATGAACAAGCCAAAGGTTCTTCACTCAATGAGCTTTGGCATGAACTCTGAGGAATATGATGAGACTATTTATAGCAACAAAGATTCAGGAACTACCTACTTTACATTTCAGCTCTCAGTGGCATCTAAACCCACATCCAACTTCTTTCTTCACATAACCATGTTTCAAAAAGATAACAAGCTCTGGTAAAACATGACATCTGTTACACTGTGGTTGTGGGAAGGGACTCAAGTTCTTACTCTATAATGCTTGATTACTTTACAGACAACCTTAGGGATGTCCCTTCACTACTTCAAGCCCCCACGACTTGGACTCAAAAAGGGACAGAATAAGCCCAGGCATTACAAACCTGGATCTCTGGCTCATAAGTGGAATGCAAGGCCATACTTTCAGAAATGCACCCAAGTGGACAATCAAAATGTCTTTTCATTTGGTTGAACCTTAATTTTTTAATTTATTTTTATTTCATTTTATGTTCCAATCAAAGTTCTCCTTCCCACCCTTCCTTTTGCCCCCCCAACCCCCTGCCAGCCCATCCTCTATCCACTCCTCCCAACAGGTAAGGGCTCCCATGGAGAGTCAACACCATTTGGCACACTAAGTTGGGGTAGGACCCATGCATTAAGGCTGAGCATGGCACCCCACCATAGTGAATGGGTTCTAACAAGCTGGCTCATGCTCCAGGGATAAATCCTGGTCCTTCTGCCAGGGACCCCTCAGATACTCCAAGCTTTACAACTTTCTCCCACATACAGAGGACCTAGTTCAGTCCCATGGAGGCTCCACAGCTGTCAGTCCAGAGTTCATGAGTTTCCACAAGCTTGGTTGAACCTTTACTTCCAGTGCCTAGAGACCCTGAGAAGATAACACTAATATTGGTTAGGAATCAATAAATTAATTGTAGAGAAAATGAGAAAAGTATTCATTTTACTCCCACCTTCTTAAGTTATCATATGTTCAAACAACATGTCTACATAGTTAATGAAGAACCAAACTAATAGAAAAAGAATCCTGGACATAATTCTTTAATAGTCATTTTCCTATCTGAAAAAAAATCAAGCAAGCACAAGGGTTTCTTTTTTGTTTTGCCTTTTAAATGCATTCTAATTTATAAATAGTAAATATATTGTCGATGGGACATGGTATAATAGTTTGATTCATAAATACAAAATGTAATGCTCAAGTCAGGCTCTCCTCAAACATTTGTCACTAGAGTCTATTCTCTTTTTTTGGCAGTTATCAATACATTTTATTACATCTAATTCTTTTTTTAATTCTCTATTACTACTCATATTTACATATCCATCCCCCATTCCCTTGCCCTCCCATGTTCCCCACCAGGGACCTTCAAAGTCTGTCAAATCATTTGGGGGTGGGCCTAGGCCCTCCTTGCTGTATCTGGGCTGCAATAGTATCCCTCCATAGGGAATGGGCTACCAAAGTCCATTGTGCTCTAGGGATAAACACTGGCTCCACCGTTAGAGGTCCCATAGACTGTCTTGGCCTCCTAGCTGGCACCCACATTCAGAGGGATTGGTTTGGTCCAATGCTTTTTCCCCAGCTTTATAGAGTCTATTCTTGAGATGAGTCAAAATCCCTATTAGATGCCTTGAAATAATCAATTAATTGCTGTCAACCACATTTACCCTAGTGTGCTCTTAAACATTAGAGACTGTTCCTTCTATCCAACTGTACCCTACATCTTTTATGTTAGAGATCCTTCTATACCAAGCTCCTCGTCCTACCTCACCAGTTGACTAAACTGCTTGCTTACAGTTTTACTTGAAACTATTGTGGTCCCAGCACTTTCCAGTTATTCTGTGTTTACTGAAATGTCCACCTTCAGTAAACACTTCTGTTGTCATCTGGTCATAAGAACAGGAAGGTCAGAGTTCTAGTCACTACAAGCATGCCTCAACATTTGTAGAAGTTGAGTTGTTAGAGCTGCAGAATACCTCAGGGGTCTGCTCTACTTAACACAATGCTCCAGAAGCTCTATGTGCTTCTGCTCAACAGATTTGCATGGAGGGTGAACAGCAGCCCTTCAGAGGGATGAAGGCAAGAAACCAAACCTTTTGTAAGGGTAGGACCTGAGAACAAACAAATCGAGTTCTCTTGGGGACAGTGCTGCCTAACAAACCCAGTGACACTCTCCTCGGTCTTCCCTTTGACCACTTCTGGAAGATTTTCTTCAATTCTGTGTCTTACCTGCATTTTAGAGATGTGAAAATATACTCAAAGTCAAACAAAGGAAGTTTAGGTTTAGAAATACAACAAAGAAGTAGATGAAGGACAGTCTGTTCTGATGAAGCAGAACCTCAAACAACACACAAGCATTTCATTTCAGCACTCGAAGGCCTGCTGGAGAGGAAGTTTAGTCTCGCTTTAGGGACTGCAGGGACCAAAGAGACCAAACCAGGGTCTACAGATGACAAGGAGACAGGTTCTGCTTCAATCCAATATTGCCCATGATGCCTGGCCTACAAGAGAGAGAGAGTGCCCTGGCATGGAGCCCTCAGCAGCTGAAATGATCCCACCAACAATGAGTCCTAAATAAACCTCAACAGCTACTAAGATTGAACTATGCCTCCTACGGGGTTCTTTTGTTGCTATGCATTTTAAAATTGGGGAGATTCAGTATATTCTCTTTGTGTCCTAATAGCAAACCCTCATTTTCTCAGGGAGATGAATAAGCGCCTAACAGAGGAACAGGCCAAGAAAACCTATGACCGGGCAATTAAGCTAGAACAAGAATTTGGAGAATATTTTACAGGTAAGTTTCCTTGGCTCTGATAAATTGCCTGGTATTATACTTAGAATAGGTTCCACGCCTACTAAAGCTAGGCCCCAAAACCTTCCAGTTGAGATTGCCTGGCAATTTTTTATACTGTCTGCCTTGCCCATATGGTTTAGGGCTCTGGATTCTCTCCTCTCTAAGTTGACTATTAAGCTCACTCCCAGTTCTCCCCTGGCCATAAACCATGAATGGCAGAGGCCCCCACTATTAAGGAGATCTTAGGCATGATACCTCATGAAACTATCCCCCTAATAGATTCAGAAAACTTGAAAGGTTCCACATGGGCAGCAGGTCTGCCTTACCCCCCCCCCCCCCCCCCCCCCCCCCCCCCCCCCCCCCCCCCCCCCCCCCCTCCCCTCTCCCAAGAACACACTCGAGATATTTCAGTTAACGCTGTTTCAAGTCCAATAATAGCTTTTGATTTTAAAAAAATGTCTTTGATAACATGCTGTTTTAGGGATGTAATAGAAATTTCTTTTGGATATCCTGAGTTCTCTCTTCTTCCCTGTTCTCACAAAATACCGATTAAATCCAGAGAGAAAGCAGCCTTGGTAGAATTTATCTTGCAACTAATTCTCGATGGTTTATAAATAAGACACTTGAGATGAAGCTCAGTAGCAGAGTGTTTACTTGGCTTGCACAAGGCTCCGAGTTTAACCCATTCAAATATAACCCCCTCCAAAATAACATTAACTCTAACAACTTCCCTCGTGAATTACTAGCATGAAATGAGATGGGGTTTGTTGCCATTGTTTTAAATCATATTCTGAATACCAAAGGTGCCAGTAGCAGGGCAGTCTGCAACTGTTTTCACTAAAGTTAATGTTAAGGTTTCTGTCAGTAATGTGAGTGATGCGTCATTCTAAAAGAGCATCCAGGTGGGAAAAATCAAAGGACTGCAGAAATGGCTCAGCAGTTAAGAACACTTGATGCTCTTCAGTTCAGTTCCCAAGTGGGAAAATTAAGTCAAATAAATGACTATTTGACTCATAGTTTGCAGTCATGGGTAGATTACCATTAGTATGATCTGAAGATAGTTTTTGAAACACAAAGATGCAAACTGTATTTCAATAATAGCTTGTCTTGAGGCATTGGCGGCAGATGGCTAATGCTGATGTTTTAGAGATCTAACTCCAAGACAGTGTTCAAAGGAAACAACAAAATGTGCTTAAATCTATGCTGAGAACCGAGTGTTTTAATAATTTGAAGTTTAGTGTTAAGGTTTCCTCTTATTTATGTTCCTTATTGGGTATACACAGTATAAATAGCTCTGTGGGGTAAAAATCTTACTTTAATCAAATAACTTGAATAAACAGTGTTTTTCAGTAAAGGTTTTTGGAATTGAAAAGGTTAACAAAACTTTGCCTTCAAACTCCTGCTATTTCCATGTCTACAAGACCTGAATTTCTGCCTTAGCTGGTGTGAAGTATAGAAACTCTATGGCCAACAAACAGGGAGTTCTTAGTCTGAAACTGTTGTATTCTGTGTTCTGCTCCAGTACCTGGCTCAGAGTAGGTATCCATGAAATGAACACGTGATTCATTGCTAGAACTGGGAACAAACACAGAAAGTACTAAGATTGGGACTGACCTAGGGCATGGAGAGAATGCTCCTTTTAAGCATCATTGATGTTACTACACTTGTGTGACTTTTCTTCCTTACTGGAAGGGGACAGTAAGCTTCCTGATGAGTTGTCTGTCACTGATTTGAGCTTCTGTTGGCTGAGATATCATTGCCCTCACCCCCAAGGGAATGCCTCCTAACTCTGGGTGTATTTTTTTCTTTGTAACAGCTATTGTCCAAGGAGACACCTTAGAAGATATATACAACCAATGCAAGCTTGTTATTGAAGAGCAATCTGGGCCTTTCATCTGGATTCCCTCAAAGGAAAAGTTATAAATTAGCTACTGCACCTCTGACAACGACAGAAGAGCATTTAGAAGAACAAAATATATATAATATAATACTTGGAGGCTTTTATGTTTTTGTTGCATTTATGTTTTTGCAGTCAATGTGAATCCTTATGAATGTACAACACAAACTGTGTGAAGCCATGAAGGAAACAGAGGGGCCAAAGGGTGGGACAGAAAAGACATTACAGTATGCAGGAAGGCTTTGGTTTGCTCAAAGTACCAGGTGTAAGGACGAACCTCTGATGGGCTCTCTGCCCTAGAGATAGGCAGCCTTCTCACCCCAGCAGATGTCCAGAGTTGATTTAGCTGCTGAGCTCTCTGTTTTTTGCTTTAAGAAAAGTTGCCAGCACTCGAACCTCACCAACCTTCCCCTTCCCCACCTCTGTAATTGGTACACTTTGAATTTTATAACTATGCACATCCTTTGATTTCTTAACAAGCAAAGGAAATAAGGAAACCAGAAAAGAGTCCCTTTGGAGACGACATACTATCTGGGGAGGATGATTGCTTAGTTTCCTTGGCTGGCATGTGCAAAGACAAGTGCGTCATAATATTGACAACTTGTGTGGAGAATGAACCTTACTGAGGAGGGATCCACCTGGACTAGCTTTATGATTGTCGATTGTCTATTTTGCCATTTATAAGCTGAAAGAAGGCACTAAAGATGAGAATAATTTATACAATAAAATATATTAAATGTATAGAAATGAATTTCTATAGGTTAAAAGTTTTGTGAAATATTTTGTAAAGACTAAAAAACCATTGAAAGACTAAATGTACGCACTCTCAGCAGATGATCAAATTCAAGAATTTGAGGTTGCACTCTCCCTTTTGTTGCCAATGACCCATTCAGAGCATCCGAGTTCCTGCCAGGTCTGACGAAGACTTCTCCCTCATCACCCATGCACCACTAGCACACTAGCACACTAGCGATACACTCTTATGGAACACATCCCTTAATAAGTTGCCCTCATGGATAGTTTGGAAGAGGTTTTTTTTTGTTGTTGTTGTTAAGCCTTTTTTTTAAGCCAATTGCTTTTTAGAGACAAACTCATGTTAGTAATCAAAAATGAACGATTGCTTTTCCCCAGTTAAATAGTTTGACCCAACCATGCAGATAGTCAAATTCAACTTTGTTCCTAGTCACTTGCATACAGTTCAAGAACCATTTAGTATTCTGGCAAACCATAAATCATTAGGATTATCTTTTCTTTGTTTCACAGAGCAACTGAGTGTTTTGTAACAACATGGGTTGGCATTACAGGGGGAGATCTGTCCTAAGATGCACTATTTCCCTGAGGAAGAGAAAAAAGAGAAGTTATCTGGTTGGGAGTGGTGAGGGATGCACTTTTCTTGTTTCAGTATATAGGGCAAAGAGTACCACAAGGCAAGGACGATTTATGACTTTGAGCTCAACCAACTGAACTGCCTTCCTTAGGGCTGCACCTGGACCAAGTTCATTTTTCTAACAATTATAATAATGATGATTTGGGGGGGACATACCTCCCAAAGCCTATAAGCTGAAACATAAGAGTTAGCTTCCCACTTTAGCGCTGATGGTAGGTAGCATCAGCACTGGTTCTGCCCAAGGTATTCAGAGAGAGACTTTTTAGTGTTATTAATAACCACTCATATCTGGGTTCTATGCATGCCCAGATTAAGCCCCATCGCCTTATTTCTGGGGTACACCAAGACCTGGCAGGATTCTGCCACACTGTGCAGCCAACCAGCATGTAGGCTGGAGTACAAGAACAAAAGACAGAGCCATCAGTGTGATGGGGCTTCTTCTAAGTTAGAACATCGGGGCTTAAAACCGAGAGTCTCTTTCCAAAATCAAGGGTCATTCATACCATTGTCTGCCTGGCTGCAGGCACCAAAACAAACATTAAAATGCAAAAGCATGCATCTACCTATAGTTTTGAGGCAGCCTTTGCCAATGTAAGGGGTAGCAAGCAGCCATGCATTTTCCCCCCTCACATGAAAGTCCAGTTTTCCAGAGATAGCCTTTAGACAGCTCAAAATGTTAAAAGATATGTCCATGTCTGCAACTCACCAGTTTCAGCACAAGGCCAACTTCCATCAATATTGAACTCAGAAGTTTTCTGCCACTAGAATGCCATTCCTGATCCCTACTCTCTTTATAGGCCACCATGATAACTTCTTTGGTTTCTCCACTGAGCATGCAACCATTTACCTTAGAGGACTGTCATTAATGAGTAGATGTTTTCTCCAGTTGTGTGATGTGCTTTCCATTTGATAGTATTGCTGTGGCTGAGTACAATCAAATTGAACCACAAACCATTGGTTTTGTAGTAATATAATTATTTATTTTCCCAGTGTAGATGCTTCCAGATTAGCATTAGCACTGATTTTTTATGTAGATTTATATAAATATATATACATATATATTTGCTTGAAGAATCACCAAGCACATTGGTGAGAGGGTCTTTTCCTATAGAATTCACACATCCATTTTGTTGTGTTGTCTTGCAATTCCCAATGTTGAGGTCTCTATGGCTCCAAAGAACTGGTGTATTTTGCAGCAAATCTGACAACGCATATGGAAATGGCATGAAAGTCACCCAGATCACATCTGGTGCAAATGCGCCTGGAGCCTTGGGCCAGACTGGTGCTAACACTGCAAACTTTGTCCGGAGCTCTCTCCAATCTGAAGGCTCGCTGGGGGCACAGTGTCACCTTCACATGCTGGGCCCTTTCGGAAAAGTGCCAGATCGTGTCACTGGTGCTATTTTTCATGCTCTGGTACAATGTGTAGCACCATGGGGGTCTCAGCTTTACCAAAACCGAAATCCCACTTGTCAGTCAATTGTTGCTGAGGCATTTGCTTATTGCTCTTTGCCATGAGAGTTGATGGCCTACTCTTTAAAGGCCTTTCCTCCCATTCCCAAATTCAGGGGTTGGCTCTATCCATTTGGCAAGCCCATCTAGATGAAGCTGCACTCGGTGCCTCTGTGAGCTGTCTTAGATCCTACTGCCAGCCCTTCAGGACTGACCCAGGGATGCTCTGTGCACCTCTGGCTCTCTATTTCTTCCCCTCATTTTTTCTACTGCTTTCCTTCTCTCATCACCTGTCATTTTGACCCTCTCCTGTTGTCCTTTCTGAGTTGTGGACCTTGCCCCTCCTCTCTCTTCTCTCTTTCTTTCTCTGTCCATCTCTCCTTTACCTCCATCTTCTTTTTCCCTTTTTATGCCTTTCTCCCAAACTTACCTGCCCTCTTCTCTCCTCATCGTCACATCCCATCTCCTTAGTTTTCCTGTCCTATAAAGGGCTCACGGCTGATTCAGACAGCAAGTCCACACAATGGACTAATGACACAAATACTTGGGGTCACCATTTTATTTACTCAGCCCAGAAAGCAAAGCTGAGTGTGAGGCCCTGACCTGGAGCCAGCCTGCACCACTGCCCTAGCAGTGCTGATGCAAGAGCTATGGGCCCCTGGCACCTAGAAGCCTCTGCCTGGACCTATCTGTCTCCAGGACTCCCTCCCAGCCCCACCCAGGCTGAGGACGCTTCATTTTAACAGAGGCAAACTCTGGCCCCGACAACTATTCTAACAAACCTCACTGAAGCCATGACACCGCCCTGGTTTGGAGAGAGATATTTCCCCTACTTTCTTTTTCTCATTTCCATGTGAAGCCCCCTCTGCTTTTCAGCTGGTGATTGCTCTGGTGAGACTGAATGGACTTGCTAGTGAAATGACATCTTCTTTACTGTCTTGGTCCTGCCTAAAATTTCTACAAAAAGCATTTAAGCTGAGGACTAAGGCTAGTTCCTAAGTTTATCATACAAATGAGTCACTCCTGGGGAGACATCAGTTCCCTTAAAGCATGTGGAGTACCTCCTGTGACAACTGATTTTTCAGGAAACTCCATAGAGAATTCTGTGGGTCTGCATTAAATGTGTGGTATATGTGGTATGCACACCATGTATACACAGTACATGGGGTATGATTCGATGCGGTTGGAAACACATACACACTTCAGTCTGTAAATATCCCTCCTCACTGAAACCTGTGCTTCAGACACCATTTCTCGAACAGCTGTGCAGTTTCTTGTAGCAGCTGAAGTCAAGATAGGACAGGCAGAAAATTTGGTACAGATCAGCTAAAAGAGTACAGTATCTCCCTTGCAGCTCATGAGGACAGACAACCAAGTGGCAAAGTTGACTCCGATGGGATGGAAAACTTATCTTCTTTTCAAATTTGTGTTTCCTAAGTGTATCTTAACTTCCGAGTGCACCAGATTGTACCCATTAGATCCTTTTACTATGACAATTTTGTGCTTCTCTCTGACAGGATGTTTCTCCATCGAGCTGTAATGCAGGATGGGAGGGAGGGAGGGGGAATTACTCCTTGCTGGCTGGAGTTTACAGAGATACTGCACAGCTTACACTCCTGTTAAGTGTAAATATTCAACACTTCCATTCCATTTGTGTAAAAAATAAAGCACACACGATTATAAAATCAAAATGTATATTTCATACTCCGTGTGTCCGTGAGTATTTATTGAGTTACCACATATTGGTGGTGGTCCCATTATAAAACTGCTTGATAGAGTGTTTATAAACATGTCATGGTTTTCTTATATAAATGTTTAAAAAAAACATTTTCTACTTTACAGCAAAATTATATTCTCCCAGAGCATAATTTGTGTTACTTCATAAGGGAATAACTCATTTCTATTTTTACCAAATATGTCTGATTTCAGAGCAAAAATGCAGTTAGAGTGTGTTTGCAGTGAAAAACATTGGCACTGCTGAGAGGAATTGACAGTGCTGCATTTGCATATTTTTAAATATTTAATTATCATCCTGCCTGCTTTTAATCAAAAAAATTCTTTTCCAAGAATGAATAATGTATTAAAAGTTAGGCTTTCAAAGAGGGCAAGACCTCTTTCTATGGAACCCACAGAAACAGCTGACCTGAACAAGGGGAGCTCATAGACCCCAGACTGATAGCTGGGAAACCAATATAGGACTGTTCCAGACCCCATGAATGTGGGTGTCAGTGAGAAGGCCTCGAATTTGTGTTACTTCATAAGGGAATAACTCATTTCTATTTTTACCAAATATGTCTGATTTCAGAGCAAAAATGCAGTTAGAGTGTGTTTGCAGTGAAAAACATTGGCACTGCTGAGAGGAATTGACAGTGCTGCATTTGCATATTTTTAAATATTTAATTATCATCCTGCCTGCTTTTAATCAAAAAAATTCTTTTCCAAGAATGAATAATGTATTAAAAGTTAGGCTTTCAAAGAGGGCAAGACCTCTTTCTATGGAACCCACAGAAACAGCTGACCTGAACAAGGGGAGCTCATAGACCCCAGACTGATAGCTGGGAAACCAATATAGGACTGTTCCAGACCCCATGAATGTGGGTGTCAGTGAGAAGGCCTCAGAAATCTATGGGGCCCCTTGTAGTAGATCAGTACTTATCCCTAGCCTGGGAATGGACTTTAGGAGGCCATCCCACATGGAGGGATAATCCCTGAGCCTAGACACACAGGGGAGGGCCTAGGCCCTATCCCAAAGAATATGACAGACTCTGAAGACCGCCCCCTATGGAAGGCCTCACCCTCCTGGGGAGCAGAAAGGGTATGGGATACATAGGGTGTTAATTGGGAGGGGGCGGGAAGGGGGAAGG